GTCCCATTAGAATCATCTGTGAACTCTGATTGACTTCAATAGAGCCAGGATTTTGCCCCGTACCTGTGAAAACTTCAACATCTCCAAAAAACAATGACTTTTTTTTAGGATTGGGAAATGCAAAATCAATGGATCTTAGGGTGTTGGTTATTCTGTTTTTATTTATTGAGGGAGATAAATTCTTGGTCAATTTCTAGAGTTCAGCATTAATAGCTGAATTTAGAAAATGGCTTGGAAATTCCTAAGGAATTAACTATATATGATTCAACACTAAGGAAATAAAAATCTAACCTGAGCTCTTATCAGTAGTTTATTTGTTCTCTTGCCACTGTACAAATAGACCACACAGAAGATGGAGCCTTAGACAGTGAAACTCCTACGGGTGTAATAAATGTTATAGAACAGGGATTATGAGCTCGTTAAGATTGTGTACTTAATGTAAAATTTGAGAGTTAATATCTCAGTCAGATACAATGGATCAAATATTTGCCTGATTTATATAATCACAAGTATATAATTGACTTCAGTAGGCTTGTATATGCTGTAACTCAGACAGTCATAATACAGTAAAATTTCTCAAGATCAAACACACACACCAAAAAATATAAGTAAACAGGTCAGCTGCTAAGTTCCAGTCCAGTTTCTTCATCACAAGTCCTTCCTTCCTCATTCATAATACTTTAAGCACCTGCATTTATTTGAATACTTAGTCATATCAATAACTAAAGCTGTGAATATTTGGAGCATTGCATGGTCAAATTAATCCACATGTTTGTTTAAATAGGGATATACATATATATCACATTCAGATATTTGTACCTGAATTTATTTCAACTGAATGATCAAAATCAATTCACATAAGTGAAGGTGCATTTATTAAGGGATATTGGATGGTCAAGTCTTTTTTCCAGGTTTAAAAGTTCTAAGGTGGACTGGGATTAATAGATTGCTATTTAATCATATCTGATGTGGTGTTTTTGAAGATCAAATGTAATCCCTTGCTAGCAAAAGGATAAATTGTATTTTATTTTTGGTCCAGTACCATGACTGAATTTATAGAGTTGGGATAGCGTAGTGACATTTACAAACCTGGGGTCTTTCTGCCAATTTGGAATTAAATCAAAAGTAAAGGGTATTGTGGTTTCTATCTGTGTGGTAACTGTATTCAGAAAGTGTTTTGCCTTGTGAGAAGCAAGTCAGTAAATCCCAATTACACATTCCTTGGACAAGAATCTGAAGCAAAATTTTAATTCTACTCATTTCTGCAAAAGAACACGTCTCCGGTGTGATGACAGACGAACATATCCTCATTCTAAATTTTACCAAGTTATTCCACATCTCAAAATTGTTATGAAATCTGGCAAAACTACAAGCCTTTCTTATTTAAGAGAAGCCTTTTAGTGAGCAGTCACAGTTGTAGAGTAATATTCCAGGTCAGATAGAGGTATGTTGGTGGATGATGATGCACAAACAAGCCGAGACGATCAGTCTCTCAATTTTTTTCACGCATTTATGAATGTTTAATATTTTTTAAAAGGTTCATTTGTTGCCTGTTGTTTTATTTAATGTTGATTATACTACAGTGGGTTCGGCTCTGATGAGTACAATCTCAAGTTCAACAGAGTTATCTGTTTCTTCTAGATCTAGAGTTCATAGGAACACATGAAACTATAGGCAAGTAACACAGACAATCACAAGATCTTTTAGCTGTTTTATTAAAGCTGCCAACAGAATTATGAATGTCACAGCATATACAATTCCTAAATAGATCCATGCACCAGTTATGATGTCAGACATACTCACATCCTCCTAGATGGTGTTAGAGTCTGATGGCTCTCTCATGGATTGATCATCAATATGGGGATGGTCCCCGCTGGAGGTTTCCCATAGGAAGCTCAATTTTCCCGCTCTGGGCACCCTTTTTTATAATGTGATTCTGTCTATACCTACATTCTGTGCTTGTACATGGAAGTGTCAACCCTCTTTTATCTTATTGGTCTGTGTCCCCTAGAAACATAAGGGACCCTAAATTCTATAGGCTGTATAGGTTCTCTTTATGTTCATTAACAGTGACTGGGAGAAGGAGGCTACAGCGGAGCCCCACGTGTGCAGCTGTGAGCGGGAGCCCATGGCTGTCCAGGCACTTGTATGGGCTCTTGGGGATGGGCACTGCCTGGGTGCCGCCCCCTCCACCTTCTGCAGGATGCTGGCTAATGGCTATGCCAAGAAAGCAGTGGTGAAGGCCAAAGGGAAAGGGTTCAGTAAGGAGGAGATGAAAGGTGGTGTGCAAGGAAGCCATGCTGCTCACCACGCACACCATGGGAGTGAACTTCCACAGACAGGGCCTGGAGGTGGCTCCAAAGGACGGCTCTGAGTATCCCGACTGGCTTTTCCAGATGCACCTCAGCCCCCCCAAGAAACTGGAGAAGCTGGACCCTGAGACACCCCAGTACTGGAGGCTCCTGCGGAAGCACAACACCTGGTGCCACAACAAACTGAGCAAGAGCAAGAAGTTTTAGGGTGGGGCCTATATGGTGACACCCCTGCACCCTTCTGTGCCCCTGGGCTGGGGAAGGATGCGGCACAGGGGCTCGAGTTGGGATTTGGATATGTCCTGTGAGACGGGAAACAGATGCAGCTGGGCGGGTCCCCTGATCTGGTACCAGCTGTCATCTCCGCCCAGCCAGGGTCTCTTATTTTTACTTTGAATACTGACGCCAATAAATCACTGGCCGTAACTGGGGGGAAAAAACACATTGACGTACCACCTTTATCCTGTGGTTAAGACACATATTGGAGACAAGAGGTAATTTTACAGCATTTTTTATAATTTTCGCAATATTCTCACTTGATATCTCTTTTCCCATAATCTTAGGGCATCGGGTTATTCCTCGGTCATTTATTTGTGTCAGCATTTCTTGTCTCCAAGGCCTAAAATAGTTAAGCTAAAATCTTGCATTGTCTTACTTATATCTAATACATGATTCCTCTAACTACTGATCAATATTATACTTCTATAATCTTACAAATTAATTCTATTTAACATACAATTAATATATACAATATAACGTTGATTAATCATAACATCACACCATAAATGGATAATAAAATAGAATCATTGGCTACACACTTAAAAAAATCATGGCAGTAAGTGATTTACGAGTGATCTAATACTTTTCATAATATTTAAATTTGGTATTTTATGGTTTGGAAAACAGCTGTTTATCTTTCTATTTTAAAAAAAACCCTTTTCATTTCACGTCACTCTAAAACTGAGAATCTGTCCTCACTAAATCGGTTGTCCAGTTTAAGGCTGAATTACCAACCACAGGGATGAATGAAATCTCTAGGTAGAATTATAACCTAAAGAGATAAATTTTGCATACACTCAGCTATGAAATCAAGGGGTATCAGTCATGCCCTATGGCTAATGTTACACCATTTACCAAAAGTGTGATTCTACTATAAAAAGTGACTATGTATATAAGAAAAAGTACTTTCTTTCTTAATAGACCTGTTCTCAGTTGGATTCAATCATAATCCGCTGATTTTAGTGAAAAAATAAGTTTACTGCTTTTTATTCCAGTTAGCAGGGCTGGCTCCAGGCACCAGCCCCCCAAGCATGTGCTTGGGGCGGCACCTGGAGGGGGGCGGCGCTCACCCGGGGAGAGCGGGGCCGCGGCCGGGCTCGCTGCCCTCCCCCGGCGCTCCGGCCGGCCGGGGAAAGCGGGGCCCCGGCCGGGCTCACCGCCCTCCCCCCGGCGCTCCGGCCACCGGGGAGAGCAGAGCCGCGGCGGGCTCGCCGCCCTCCCCCGGCGCTCCAGCTGGCCGGGGAGAGCGGGGCCGCGGCCGGGCTCTCCGCCCTCCTCCTGGCGCTCCGGCCGGCCGGGGAGAGCGGGGCCCCGGCCAGGGCCGGCTCTAGGATTTTTGCTGCCCCAAGCAGAAACAATTTTGGCCGCCTCCCACCCTGTTTTTTTCTTACCCCACCCCCGGCCCCGCCTCAGCTCCGCCCCTTCCCCAAATCCCCAGCCCTGCCTCCTTTCCCCAGGCTCTCAAACCTGGGAGGGAGGGTGAGCAGCGGCGCATGAATCAGCTGTTTCGTGCGCCGCAGCCGCTCGGGATCTCCCCCTCCCTCCCAGGTTTGAGAGCCTCGGAGGGAGGGCAAGCAGCGGCGCGCGAATCAGCTGTTTCGCGCGCCGTGGCGTGCGAGCGGCAGCAGCGGAGGTGAGCTAGGGCGGCCGGGGCACATTTTTAGAGGCGGCATTCTGGCGCCGGCCATGCCGCCCCTAAAAATGTGCCGCCCCAAGCACCAGCTTGTTTTGCTGGTGCCTAGAGCCGGCCCTGGCCCTGGCCAGGCTCGCTGCCCTCCCCCCGGTGCTCCGGCTGCCGGGGAGAGCGGAGCCGCGGCCGGCTCGCCACCCTTCCCCGGCGCTCCAGCCGGCCGGGGAGAGCGGGGCCGCAGCCGGGCTCGGCGCCCTCCCCTGCTGCGCTCCCCGCCGGGAGGCAAAAAAGCCAGAGCCAGCCCTGCCAGTTAGCCTTGTAGAACCAACATACATAGCCTAGACCAGGGGTGGCCAACCTGTGGCTCCGGAGACGCATGCAGCTCTTCAAAGGTTAATATGCGACTCCTTAGCTAGGCACAGATTCTGGGGCTGGAGCTATAGATGCTAACTTTCCAATGTGCTGGGGGGTGCTCACTGCTCAACCCCCTGCTCTGCCCCAAACCCTGCCTCCACTCCACCCTTTCCCCCAAGGCCCCTGCCCCTTGGCCTGAGCCTGCCATGCCCTCGCTCTTCCCCCTCATAGCCTCCCTCCCCATAGCCTCCTGCACATGTGAAACAGCTGATTGCAATGGGCGGGGGGAGTAGGTGCTGATTGTTGAGGGCTGCTGGCAGGCAGGAGGCAATGGGGGCTGGGGATTGGATGCGGGGCTGCTGACGTATTACTGTGGCTCTTTGGCAATGTACATTGGTAAATTCTGGCTCCGTCTCACGCTCAGGTTGGCCACCCTTGGCCTAGAGAGAGAGATGGTTTCTCAGTTCAGTTATGTTATCTATCTAATCTTTCTTGTGCACATAAGCTTTTGTTGACATGTTCTAAGTCCTTTTCTGTAACCTTGGATATTAACCTGTGGTATGAGAAATGTTAACACTGATGAGCAAAACATATATATATATATTTTTTATATAAAAAGGGATAACGAAGAAAAAGACTAACCACGTGTGGCTTTCCATGTAGGAAGAGAAGAAGTGGGAAAGAATTGCTAAATCTTTTAGCTTCGATACTACATCATGGTAAGTCCTTTTAATTAACTGTGTGCCTTGGATTTAGATAAAGAACTCCAACTGCAAAATTTGAATGTCCATTTTCAAATGTGAGAGAACCAAAACAAAAAACCCCCAAAAATCCAACAAGATGTGGGCATGCAAATAAATGCAAAATGAAATCTGAAGCAGGCAGCCTGGCTCTGCAGTCAGGTCCATGTTGTGAAAGTTAAAAAACCCTGGATGGCATAACTGAAGGGGTTGTGTTTAGCCACAATATTAAATAGCATTCCATGCACAGCTCTATTAAAGGGGGCATGTGAAAGTAATTCTCGTACCCTCTCCATTTCCCTTAATTGGGGATATTTAAAAAAAATAATAATAATAATAATCGCGTAATGACTTTTACCACATTAGCAACTATGGTCTGTCTCCTGGAGCCATGTTTTGGTTGAATTTACCTTTTATATAAATAGGCATGACTTTGTTAACCAAGTTGTAACTCTTCCAGTTTTTACCACTAAAAAGGTATGCACATCATAAATCCCTCTTATTCCTTATTTGTTTTGCCAATGGGAGTAGCTGTGGTTTTCCTTATCTCTTTTCTGCATGTCTCCTGTCTTCTCTTCTCTAATAAAAACACACACATGTACATACGTTGATATATAATTTTTTGTTCTGTTTCTCATCATTTCTAAAATCTGGAGTGCATTTGTTGCTCTTGAAGAAAGAGACCAAAGCCTGGGTACAGCAAAGCAGTCCTTAACTTTTTAAGCACATGAGCAGTTCTATTAACTTCAATAAAACTACTCAGTACTTAATTTAAGTGTGTTCTTAAGTAATTTGCTGGATTGGGACCCAATGCTACTGGTCAGAGCCAAACATTGTGTTCTAGTCATCATGTCGGCTTCTCAAAAAACACCCCTGCCACAGCGCTTTAGCCCTAACCCACCATCTTTACTTCTCTAATGATGGGCTTTTCTTGCTAGAAGTTGCTATTTATATGATGGCACAGTGAGATGGATATCTAATAAAAATTAGGATTAGACCAGTAAACTCCTTTTAGGTGATCTTGGGGTTTCCCTTGGAATACTTTCTCCTCAGCATGGTCTTGAATCCATAACACCCTGAAACCTAATCCCTTTTGAAATACAGTAAGTAAAAGGATAGGAACTTTTGCTCACCTCCCAGGATTCTCCTGAACAGTCTGGCTGAAATGTAAAACTTTTGTGCCTAAAGTTAAGCTCTTAAATCCGTATTTAAGGACCTGGTCCAGAACCATTGAAGTCAATGGGACTTTTTGCCATTCACTTCAGTAGCAGCAGGATCTGAGCCTAAATACTGGAACTTTTTTAGGTGTCTAAATATAGATTAAACTTTAGGCACCCAAATCTAAATGTTTGCCTCTTTGCTTTTGGTGTGGCAGTATCATGTTTCATGTGCTGTCAACGGTCAGTTTTGTTAGAGACTGGACAACACTTTCATTAATTATGAAGGTGCTCCGCTTAGGGCTTGTCTATATGAACACTCAGTTTGTGGCAGGCTGGAGTGTAAATCCATCTCACACTTGTCTGCCATGCACTAACTGTCCGTGTTTGACCCTGCTGCCATGTACTAAAAGTTCCTAATGTACTTTAATCTACTCCGGTTTCAAAGGAGGGCAGATCAAAGTGCACTAGGGAACTTCTAGTGTACAGCAGCAGGGTCCACATGGAGAGCTACTGCACAGCAAGCTAGCAGGAGGTAGATTTACACCTTAGCCTGCTGCAAGCTAAGTGTTCATGTAGACAAAGCCCTAAGTCTGAGCCTGCTCAGGCTTCTGGCAAGAAGCAGGAGTGGTCTGAGGTGTGAGCTCTGTCTGTTTTCAAGTTGTAGAAGCAATAACTGTATGTATTTACTAAGAATAGCCTCTCTCCTGGCTTTGACTGCCTGCTTCCCCTTCAATCCATAACAGCACAGCTCCAATGGAGATGTGCTTCCAGACCTTTCCCCAGGGGTGGCTGCTATTGGAACCTCCTCTCGAAATGGAGGTTTCCAGCAGAGAGAGGGCATTATGCAGCGGTCAGGGGCAGGGCAGCGACAAGTTGTATCAACTTCTCAGCCAATTAAACATGTGTCTTAAGGTGGAAAAGGGGGGAAAATAAACACACTTCCACTGCCTCTATCTGTACTCTCCCAGACAGTGGGGGAGTGCTGCATAAGCTTTTAAACTGATACCTGTAGCATACGGCTCTAATAAACATAATCCCAGATCCTAGCCATTCACTTGCTGTTGTATGAGTGTTCATCTCAATTGCACGTACAGCATTAATCACCCTGAGTCTAACACTGATGTTGCTTTGCTCTGCTCGGCAAAGCAGTCTGAAGGGTCTCAAGATTAGAACAACTTTTCATCGTCACTTACATGAGACTAATATCTGAAAATACTTTTTGAATTTAAAAACTATGAATTTCCAAGCTTGCTGTTAGGATGCCCTTCTTTTGTTTTTCTATCTCGGGACACAGCAGAGCCCAGAGGAGAAGGGCATTAGAAAAATAAGTCTTTTCTGTTCTCTGGGGCTGATCATTTAAGCTCTGTGCGTGGAAGTCCTATTGGCTTCAGGGAGAGTTCTGTGTATGGAGGACTTGCAAGGTAAGCCACGAGGTAGGAAGCAGAGGTGTGGTAATAACACACGGTGTCCTTGTGACAGCTGATGTGGAGCCTTGTAGGTGTTTGTGGGCCTGATCCTAAAAGGTGCTGAACGCCCCAAGTTCCCATTGAAGATAATCTATAGCTGCCAAGCTCCATGTATCATTTTGAGTGACTTTCTTTTGACAATGTGACCAAGCCTTTTCTGATTTGGCCTTTGCCCAATAATGATACACTAATATTAATCAGCACTTGTATAACACCTGCCAACTCAGGACCTCAAAGGGCTTCTCCTTACCTGTGTAGATATAATTGTATTGTCTGTCAAGTTTTTGCAGCATAATAATGTTAGGTCACTGAACAAAAACTTGTTCCTAGAATCCAGCACAGGTAATGGGGCTAGTTCTGAGGGAACTCCAAAGGGGGCTGGATGAGAAGTTCTCTCTGGAATGCAGCGCAATAAGGATCCAGTCAGCTGCTGCAACTCTCTCAGCAAGGGAATGGGGCTGTGCCCCTAGGAAGTGAGGGGAGTATTGGGAATTTGGGGAAGGGGCCTTCCAGTCAGCATTTGCAGCTCTGAGGGAGAATTTTTTAAACTACTTTTTTCTAAAGGTGGCATTTAGATTTAGTGCAATGAAGACAAGCATGGCTGGTAACTTGGGATCACTTGTGGCTGTATAAATACTGTGTAAAAACATTGCCCTCTCAGCTGAAATATAGTGCAAGGTATTGACAAGTGGCTGTTATGAGGTGGAGGGTAACTAATCACAAAATGATAGGTAGAGATGAAAATCTTTATTCCATTATCTAGACTGTTTCCTTGCCAGTGAGGGATTGCTCCAGTATTTTCCAGTCTTTTACTCAGTCAAATATTAATTGGCTCAAGAAACGTAGCTTCCCCCAATATCCTCTATAGTCTCACTATAGTACGTTTTTTTTTTTTCCTCCTTGTGTCTTTTTATTACATTAGCACCTAGTGACCTCAACTGAGTTCAAGGCCCTAATGTACTAGGCACTGTACAAACACATAATTGGAGACAATCCCTGCCCGGAAAAGCTCAAATTCAAAACAGACAACGATATTAAGACAACTTCCTTTTCTTTATCTTATCCCTTTATTACTAATTCCACTCCTGTAAATAATTCTTCTCCCTCCTGAGTGTTTAAACACTCAGCTGTTCTCCTGAACATTGTCAGCATTTAACCAAACTATTCATATTGAGTTCTTTAGTCTTTCCTCATAAGCCAACCCTTCCATTAGTTAATAAGCTACCACCAGAGAGACTTTTATTTAAGGAGATAAAGCTGCTTGCATTTAAACAAAACAACAAGGAGTCTGGTGGCACCTTAAAGACTAACAGATTTATTTGGGCATAAGCTTTCATGGGTAAAAACCTCACTTCTTCAGATGCATCTAAAGGTGCCACCAGACTCCTTGTTGTTTTTGTAGATACAGACTAACACGGCTACCCTCTGATACTTGACACCGTGCATTTAACCAGGCCTTCAGACAATGTTTGTAATGTTTATGATGGCCAATAAATGGAATAATAACCACAAAATCATAAACCTGATACATCATGAACTCTAAACTTTGTTCCAAGTTAAAGATTATCAGATGAGGACTTATTTACAGTGAAATATTAAGCAATAAAAGAATTCTTTTTTTCTTAGCACAATATTGCATTTTCCAGTTGTTATACTATGACTCATTAGCAAGCTGTTGAGCTACAATAACACTGCTCTACAGCCAAAATGCTTCTGAAATAAATGTAGTCAAACTTTACTAATTCTGGGTCACTGAGAACGAAAATGATGCTTAAAATTGTTGATTGGCTCTAGTTTTCAAGATATGCTATTGGGTCAGTATATACGACCATTGACTTGGGAATGGCGGAGGATAAGTGAGTTATAAAGGGAAGGGATCTCAATTTAAACCAGAAATGACTAAAATACATCTTTGACTGGCTCTATGAATAAATCTATGACTGGGTTTGGACAGTACTTGCTTTTTAGGCAAAACAATGAATGATGCAATCTGAAGCTGGTATTGCGTCATACATGATATGAATTGCATCATGTTATTCCTAGAAGTCATGGATGATGCAATGATAACGAAGCTTCCATCACTCTGCTGAACAAATTGCCCTATATCAGCTCTAGAAATCATACAGTGTCGTGCTCTCTTGTTTGTCAGTGTTTGATTTTGCAAAGGGACACATTTCTGTTTAGCCAAAGTGAGCAGAGATGCCTCGTACTTGTGTGAACAGTGCAGATAACTTCTGCTATGTTTGTGGTGAAGTGACTTTTGCATCACAAAAGTGCAGTATAACCACTATGGTTAAGAAAGCCTATCACCTTTATTTTGGCTGCAAAATTGGAGATGAGGACAAGAGGTGGG